CTTTTTCTCTCCACGGTGACTAATGTGGGAACTGTCCCCCGGCCCAGGGAGCAGCCTCCACTTGCTCTAGAGGTGGCTAAACAGCGGCAGCTTAGCTCGGTAACCTCGTGGAAAAGCTTTGATTTGTCTCTCACATAAAACCAATAGGAGTCATTTCTCTCACTAACAATTCCCAAGAGACTCAAGGCACTGAGCAGGTCTCTTTGATGAAAAATTTATTCTCACAATTGATTTGATCAAAGAGTTTCTTCTGAAAGGCACAGAGATGCCATGGATTGCAGTGAGGCATCTGGAGAGCCTGCGTTTACTATTAAGGGACTGACCAATCTGACAGTCGCTGGAAGCGTCTTCACAGTCCTAGCCAGGGTCACTTTCATGTTCTTTCTGACACATACAGTAAACCTTTGGCATAGACATTCTCCGTGGTAGGATGGGGAGAAGGATCGCTGTCAGTAAAGCACTTGCCGAGAAAGCATGAAGTCCTGAGTTCAGACCTCCAGCACCCATGCAAAAAAACTATCTGTGGGTTGCACACCTGTAATCCCAGTTCTGGGGTGCAGAAATAGGCTGATTTCAGTGCGGAGTTCTCTAGCCGGACAAGTTTGCGCGAGAGACCCCGTCACAAGAGAACAAGGAGAGATAAGCGATGAAGAACATCCCCCGCCATCCACCTCTGGCCTCCACATTGCCTGAGTGGCTGTTCTCACCCTTATGAGCACATACCACACACACAGTATGACAAAGAGGAAAATAACTTCTCCAGGGGTAAACTGAATGTAATACATGAGCCTGGTATACACCATTTTGAGCCATTAGCCCATTGACTATCCAATCAGTCCACCAATACCTACCAAATACGCTCCAGACAGATGACATTATAATATAATCCCCACTTACACGTTGCAAATACTTCTTCATTTTGTCTTCTAAAACATGCCCTAGAAGGAAAGAAAAGTCAGAGATTAATGTTACTTCTTAAGTCACCAATTGTTTGTTTGTTTGTTTCCCAAAAAGGTGACTCCTAGTAGTTCCCACATCCTGGAGCAGCGGCTGAAGCTGACTGACTTAGTGAGTCCACCGCCTTCCAGGTCCTCCTGTGGCCAGCAAGCCTAGGTAGTCAACCTTGCAGCTCAGTGTTAGAGATTTCTCAGGGATATCTGAACATAAAAATTAGAAAGAGGAAGGGACAAAGAAAGTCCTGGAATTTGAGAAAGGAAACAAAACATTTCTTTTGCATTTCGTTTCCCCCCACCCCCCGACAAACCATAAGACTACAGAATACCAGCCTGCATCAAGCCGTTAACCTTTGGGACCCTGCTCCAGGCAGTATGCTGTGACTTTATTAATGAACACTTTAATGTGCTCTGTAAAAGCTAACAAACACAGATACTTGCTATGATTCATCATATCTAATATTCCATTAAACCTCTCAGTTTAGAGACCAATGCTTTTTTTTTTTTTAATACCAAATCCTCAAATGGAAGTCCTCTTCCACTCCAATTAAACTTAAAGGGATCAAAAATAAAATCCATGAAAGTTTAATGCTTAGGACATATTTTGGAATAAACAACAATAAAAGAAATGAGCTCTGCACAACATGAATTATAACCCTGGAGAATGTTTTATTAATGCTGCAGACAAGTAAAAGATGTAGTTCTTGAAAAGAGAATTCTAAGACACACGTGGTCTTCTGTGCTATTTGAAGGCAAAAGATCCTACTGTAAGACAGTTGGATTTCTTGCTTCTGGCAAAGGCAAATTCTCCTGTCAGAGTCTAATTAAGAACTTATAGCAATTTTGTACTTTTTACTCAATGAGTTTCATACTATTGAATCCTTACTCATGTGCCTGGATTTTTCTATATGATCCCTTCTTATGTAATTAAAGTATATACATTGCCCTGGTAACATCTAGAAACCCATTTCCAAAACCCATCTGCAAAGATTCTTGAACAAAACTGGTGAAGGGTAGTTTTGTTTTAAAAGAACCTCCCACATCTTTTCTTTCTTTTAAACATGAATGTCCTGTGTGGTTTATCCAGAGAATCTGGCCTTGCTTGATTTCCTGTTCAAAATCTAGGCTTGACGATTAATACAGTTCCAGAGAACCACAATAACAGATACTGTGAGCACCCTGTGAACAAAGAAAAGGGCCTATAAATTATGTCACCAGGCCAATCCTGTATGTCACCAAAGAATAATCCAAGTGGATTATTATCTTTGTCTCTTCAAATCACCCTGTAGATATTGTAAATGCTTTGCAAACTTTATTTTTCTTTATCTGGCTGTCGGGTGGGTTATCTCCCGTCTTTGGAATGATGAGTCAGACATAGTGGAGTTAACTGATGGGCTGAGACTCTAATTCAGCCAAATCAGGAGACTGCAGACATCAGGATTTTCCTATGGTTCAAAATGACACTACTTAGCTCCAGGAACAAAGATTGGCAGGCTCTATGAATTTTACCCAAAGTGTTTTATCACAAACACTTTGTTCACTGTGCAAAGTTCTCAATCATACTCCAAAATAGATAAAGTATTTGTATTCGCTAATTTTTTATTTTCAATGCAGAACATTAAATCTAAGATGTTTTAACTGACTCGGGAAATGTGAATAATTCACTCACATCAGCTGAGATTTGTACAGTAAATTGGCTCATGAATCATAGGGCAGCCATTAAAAAAAAGTTCACGTGACCAAAAACAGATCAATTTTGAAATTTCAGCTATCTGTCAATCTCTCATAGAAATGAAGGGCTACATTATATATTTTAAGTGAGAAAATTAGACTGGTACAGGAAAAGAACCTGGTCACACTCAAAATCATAGATTTTATGCTTAGCCTAGACTTTCAATGAGGATATTCTACAGCATTCGTCTTAAAGATAAGGATTCTGGGTTCAGAGAAGTTATAGCAGTTAGCATCCACATCAGGACCACAGTTGACAATTGGCATGATCAAGTTTATCCTAAGCAATGCAGTTATGTATGGGTCTCTTTAGGAGACCTAGCTATGCTCTGAGCTTCCTTTTCAGCTTCCACATTCTAGCTAGAAGTTTCTTTTTCTTGGGTGTCCAGATCGTCTGCCCCCATGTGACTACCATCCTCATATTATCCCCTGAGCACTGGGAGACAGACAGATGAGTATCTATAGAGATAATGCATCCTTGTGAATAGTGGAGATTGTCCATGGGCATTCTTAATAGAAGAAAACCCTGGAAACCTAAAATGGGGGCTTTTATACCTGTATAGGAAACCAAGGCCTGAGACAACAGCCAATGAGTGGCTCTATGAAGCATGATGACGTCAGATGAAGGCCCTGGGTCTCTGTGGCAGATCTGGAGACAAGAGCCTGTTCTCAGGGTTGGTATAATGCTCTTTTGGAATGCATACACCTTACCCTTATTCATTCAAATGCTGATTTCTCTCCCACCCCCACTCTCTGATTTCAATCTGGATATTGCACTGTGATACTTATTCTAAGCATCCTGTCTCAACTTTGTGTAAACAGGCCAAAATAAAGCAACCAGCCACAATGTTGAGCAATGGGAGGAGCCAGAGGGGAGGAAATGAGTGGGAGGAGAGCAAGGAGAGCCAAGCTGGGAGGAGATCTTGGAACTACGTGAAGAATGAACCAGACCCAAGATTTCACAAAAGCAAGTATAAAGGGTAAAATCTAAATGTTAGGAAATTATGAGAGTTTGGAGGTTTAGGAGGGAGTAACTATTGCCCAGCATTGTGTTCTAGGTTAACTAAATAAATCCAGTCTCTGTGTGGTGATTTGGTTATATAGCTCTTTAGGATTAACAAAAGCTTTACCAGAAGATATATCAATAGTAAATGTTAATTCTCACCTATAACAGCTCAGCCTATCACTTGGATGGGGCCTCAACACCCAATCTTCATCCTCATCTACAGGTCTTGCTTTCACAAGTACAGTCAAAGCTTGACTTTTATAGCTAGAGATAGAAGTTTGGAACCACCCCTAAGCCAAGGCAGAGGAAAATTAGAGCTGTGTTTGGCAGGTGAGAGACAGGGCTAGCTCTCCTGTTTTTATAGACCTTGACTGGGGCCAACTCTTCTGCCTGCCATTGGAAGCAAGGACAAAAGAGAGGGAAGGGGATCTCTACATCACTAGTAAAACTTCATTGCAGACAAGAGACAGGGCTGGCTTTCCCAAGCTTTTGCACTCAGAGCTGTTTCAATAGCACCCTCACATCTGGGGCCATCTGTATTGTGCTGACCAGGCAAGATGCAGTGCCTGCTCTCCTGAATGCTGCCTTGGGGTGGGGTCACCTCTCCTGCTTTCATACCCCCAGGGCCATCTCTCCCACAGTGCCCAGGTGAGGGGTGGGGTATTTCTGTACAGCCCTCAGACATCAACATGTCCTCAGGCAGCAGCCCAGGCCTCCGGTGATAACAGACTCCTTGCTGCTTCAGGGCCATGGACCCAGATGTAGATCCTGGTGGCAGCACAGGCCAGGACTCCATCAGGCGACATCACCAGCTGCTCACATCAGGCTGTTCCTCACTACCCTAGAGTCTCCAGTTCTGCTTTTCTTCATTGAGGTAAAATTCTTCTGTTTCTCTTTCTTTTCCATTTCTCCTCTACTTATTTGTTCCCACTTAGAGGTGCCCAGGGTTTCGGAGTGTCTAGTGTCACCTCAAGAGTGGTCTCAGCAGTGTTACGACCCACTTGTGCATTATGGTGCTGGGCAGGGGTCAACTTGGGCGTTGTCTGCTTCCACCCCCAGTCTTGCGTGGCACCCAGCTGGCAGTCATCTCAGTAACCTATCCAGGCCCCATGCCTCTGATCTGGCGGTCATCCCAGGATCGCTCCTCACCCAGCCTGCCTGAGTGGCCTCACTCGAGGGTCATCTGTCTTGAGCTCACTCCCACCTGGGGCCCTCAGTCCCAGAAGACATTCTTTTAGTCTTGGTCCTAGGAGCCTTCGGGGCCTGAGCTGCACCAGCCTGGTGGTCATCCTAGGCTCTCTGTTTTAGGAAATGTTAGGCTTCTAATCATCCAGATGTTCGTAAGTCAGAACACTGGGCATAGACATCACCTCTAGCCTCTCTGCCATCTACTGATGCACACGTGACACGGAAGTCACACCTGTAGTGCTTCTAGGGAAGGTAGTTTTGTGCATTATATTGACTGTTCTAAGTAAAGGTTTTCTGAAAAAAAGCATTTATAGGTTTCATCTGGTTGCTGAGGGAGCCCATGATATATAAAAAAAAAATAAAACTTTAAGAACATCTGCTAGATGCTTAATAAATATATGATGGTTGAGTAGTTAAATAAATGAAGGAACAAACTCAGTTCCCCTCCAAAAAGCAAAGAGAGGATGTTTGTCGCGAGAATCAGTGACTCATTGCAATGAAATTGAAAAGAAATTAGACATAGCCAGGGCATTTTTCCCTGAGAAAGCAATCGGGTGCCCACCCTCATCTGTACCATTTACTTTTATGCTACCTTCCACTAAAGTGATCAAAGCAGCTTGAAGCCCCGTTGTGTCCACACATAGCAACATCACCCTTTTACGTCAACAACATGTAAGGAATAGTCTGCTGGGAGATTCTGAGAGCTATCCCTTCTCTGAAAAATCCACATTTATTTTAAATATTTAAATATTTGAACTAACTGGCATTGAAGGTGTGAGGAGTAGAAGCATGGCGTCCGAGGTTAATGATGAAAAGCAAGTGTGCCAGAGATGGCAGAACATAAATGGAGGAAGGCCTGTTCCTCAAGCATGTGATTAAGTCACTGACTAATCCGTGGGGACACCAAACCCAAGCACCTTACCTGAAAATTAGGCATCTCTACTATTCAACCCATTCTTTGGGTGCATTACATCTTCTGCAGCAACAAATACACACCATGCATTTGCCTGCATGGTAATAAGGAAAGGTCATCATTCCACTTTCAGTAATCAGTCAACACTTCCCTTTGTCAGGCTTGGATTGAATACATATTGATTCTATCTATCTATCTATCTATCTATCTATCTATCTATCTATCTATCTATCTATCTATCTTAGTGAATATAATATGTAATGTGTGTTTTCCTGAAATACAGCAGGAAAAAAATGTTGGCTATATGACCCAGGAAATGATCTCATGACTTTATAATCTCCACCAGCAGCTAAAATTTTACATGTGTCCCACTCTCCAGAGTTCTAATGTAACTCCAGACCAAAGGCTAAAGTCCATTCTGAAGTGTCTAGGTTGCTTAGATTTGCCTAAGCCTCCATGAAGTATTCCCCATGCTTCCCCTACATCCTTAGTCTTTCTTAGCTTCAGCATGTCTTCCCATTCGACCATAGGTTCCTTTAAAGTCGGGAACTGTGTCCCATGAATTTTTGTATTCTCTTTCAAACATCCAAGCAGGAATAGATACTGTCTATGATTAATAGACATTAATTAAACATTAGTAGTTTAAGTAAACAGACACTTATTCAATGTTATATTCTAGAAAGAGTAGACCTATTTATGAGAAAGTTGAGAGTATAAAACTATATCCTTGCAAAGAAACCACTTATGTGAAGAGAGTTATAAATCCAAGCACTTGTCTGACAGCTGCATGAAGGAAAAAGTCAAGGTCACTTGTACTAAGCCATAAAGGAAGGCACTAAAGATCTGCCTCAAACTTTTGTTTCAGTATAGATGGGGTTGAGTAGGTTGTCAAGCTGTCCTCAAGAGAGGGGAATAGTTGGTCAAGCCATAAAGGAAGGGATTTTAGGATCATATTGTCAAACATACTAGCCATCATGGTCCAGGTTTGATTAATTTTTCCACTCTCTGAATCTGAGCTAACATTTACTTTTGATCGAAGTATTAGCTGGGCTTGGTCCAGGAATAGTGGTACATGCCTTTAATTCCAGCACTCAGGAGATGGAGGCATGCAAATCTCTGAATTCTAGTCAGTTCTGATGAGGCATTTTGGTTGAGAGGCAGTACAGTGGAGTTGAGTTTGTGGCAGTTCAGTTGGTGGAATTCAGAGGCAGTTTTACTAGGCAGTTTTACCAGGAGAATTTTACAGAAGGAGGTTGAAGAGAGAACAAACTAGATTCAGGTGAAGACAGAAGAAGCAAGAGAATGAGAAGGAGCCAGATTAAAACAGATTGCTAGAGTTAGTTTGAGGCGAAGCAGAGCAATTCAGTCAGAAACCGGGAGAGAAGTCAGATGGAATCAGTTAGCCTGGAGAGGAGTTTGAGCCAAAACAACTGAGTTGAACCAACCAGCCAGAATTCAGAAAGAGCTAGAAAGGGTGAGCTTATTCAGCAGTAAGTCTCAGAGACTAAAAACATTCTAGGCTTAGATAAGATTGTACAGAGGGTAGAAGCTTCTAGGACTAGGCCTAGGTTAGCAGACAGAGGCAATAAGCCTCCAAGATGGCAATTGCCTCAGGTGAACAAAAGTTGGTGTAAATAAGACCTGGGCAGAAAGAGGAATAGATGGCCAAGCCAGGTGGGATACATAGGATGAGAAATGGCAGACTGAAGGACTGATTAAGGACCACAAAGAATCAACATTAAGAAACTGAATGGAAGCGGATGCTTGAGGTCCAATGGAAGGTCTTTACTGGCAAGTCAAGAGCCTGAACTTACTCTTAGAGGAGAACAGGAGCCATTGGGGGTTGTAGGAAAGAGTTGTGAATATTTACTTAACAAATGCCACTTCTTACATTCCTTGCTGTGAACGCTGTATGACTCAGGGAGAAGCAGCTGGAGGCAGGGCACGTGTAGCTTTTCCCCCAGCACGTGATGCTCATTGTTTCGTTCCTGGCACCACAAACTGCTAACAATGTCAAGTCTACTCATGCAAGAGGCTCCACTCTCTTCCAGGAGACAACTCCGAAGCAGAATTTCCAGACCAGAGTTTCTATCTTCCTGGTGAACTTGTTGAAAAGACTCTAACGACCATACTAGAGTTTTTAAGATAAATTACATTATTTTTATCTTTCTTTTTTGATCAAGGTTATGGCAGAATCCTATAATAATCCCCACCATCTTTTTTTTTTTTTTTTTTTTTGAGCCTACCATCACATGACTCTTGTCTTGCTTTGTTGTTTTTCTTCTTCAGACCAGATCATCACCCCACATTGCTCTCATCTTCACATAGGTGCTTCCTCATCTATGTGAGGAAGTGTATATATATATATATATATATATATATATATATATATATGACATATAAACAAGATTTGATATATACACATGTACCGTGACCACTGTTGTTCTATATTTAACACAACTGAATACAATTTTAAAATTTGAATAAATAGAATTTTGCTTTAAGTTTCATTGTATCTTAATTTTTATCATAATCTTGCTTATAGAATTGATCTACACGTGCAAAGTACATAGTATTTCCTCCACCTGCTCTATGGCACACCACAGAAACTAATCATCCAGTGCTTATCTATTCTTCCAGTGGAAGGCATAGGTGACTGATTTTCATTGCCCATTATCACAAAATAATGCCCAAAAAAGATATTTTTGCCTCTGGTTCCTTGAAGCTTTTCTGTGGGCCATGTGTTCATAAATGGAATTGCAGAAGTATGGGAACAACCTAATTCATTTTCCCCAAAGGCTTTTGGGAAATAGAAGGGGAGAGCATTAATGATACTCCAGAGCCTTTACATCCCTACTACCCGTAGTAGGAGGGCCTCTGTGTCACCTTCATCTTACACCATGCTCCTCCTTCATTTCATTAAGATTGTCAGATTATTTCTGAATCATCATCACTTCCTCTTCCTGCAATGACGACAAAATGGTCCTGACACAATCCAGGCTTCTACAGCTCTGTGGCTCTGACGAGGCTAAAGTCTATATTCCTTTACCTGTGTCTTTGAACTCTGCGTAGATGTCAGCTCATTGCCTGTCATTTTCCAATCCCCTTGCAGGATTTCTTTGGCCATTCCAACATTAATCTAGATTTGGTATCAGATGGCTTTTTATTTTATTTTATTTTATTTTATTGTATTTTATTTTATTTTAGTAAGGTAAGTTTTAAGTGTTGCAAATATCTTCTCCCAGTCTGTCATCTGTAATTCAGTGGTTGTAGAGCCAGTTTATAACTGGCTCATTCTTTGCTCTTTAAGTAAATAGATGCATTTAAACAATAGATCTTCAGTTCCCTTTTAAAATACTAGAAAGACGGGCTCCAGATGATTCTAGTTTGGCTCTAATACAATGATAAGACTTGGATCAAGCCACTCTTTTCCTTTATGCTGGTGTCAGTGTGTGTCTATGTCATATGAAGCAGAGCCCAGAATGAACATCCTTAGGAAGCTCTTCAGGGATGCTGATGGCCAAATCCAGAGGCCACTGACACAGAACTGGAGTTGGATATAAGACCATGGAGTCTTAAAAAAAAAAAAAAAAAAAAAAAAAAAAAAAAAAAAAAAAAAAAAAAAGGAAAAGGAAAACAGACTACAGTGGGCCTTGGAGATCACCTGGGCAGCTTCCTCATGTGGGAATCTACATTCCTGGTCACAGGGAGACAAGCACCGGGATGGAAGCGTCAGAGCCTTCCGGTCTTGTGCTCATCGAGTCTCTCTTTATCACACCAGGCAAAAGGAGAGGTGGCCTCTGTCACTCAGCAGTTCCAGCAGCAGCAGTCTGTAGATGGAACACTTCTTCCATCTCATACTCTGCAGAATGAGTCCTCGTCTTGCCTCACAGTTGGCTTTTTAACCAAGGCTTGAGATGACAGAAAGATGAAGTGTTTTCATTTTAGGATGGCACCACCAGCACTCTGGAATTAAGAGAGCATCGTATTCACTTCCTGCGCCCTCAACATTTTTAAGGTAAAGAAGTAGTCAAACACTACCCCCCCCCACACACACACTTTGTCATGGATAGCAGTTTCTGCAAATAGCCCCCTCCAAACTCTCCAGTGTCCAGAGCAAACTAAACCTGAGTCCATGGTGTCCTCTGTTTCAAATTCACATGATGCAAAACACACTGGCCAAATTGATGTCACTGCAGTTTGCCGGGCAGCCAGCACTTAAATCACCAAGATTGCTGCTGCTCCGTGTTTTAGGGTGTCGTTTTGCAATCCTGTAGCCAAGAGATGGGAAGGAGCAAGCTGGGAAGAAGGGTCGTTAGCCAGCCGGATGTGCTGTGGCG